AATTAAGAGGTTCTCCTCTTGTTTATGTTCGGACTTGAATTTGAAGCCCAAATGGTAATATTAATGAATTAGGTCCCTTTAGAAACAAAAAAAATAAATAGAAAATCATAGGTTACTTTAGGATTGACCTTTAAATAAAAGTGGGACGAGCCCCGCCAAATAAAATGCATAAATTGCGGGGCCCTCATTAAATACTATATTAAAATATTTTAGAGATTCGGGACATGCCATTTAGCGAATTTTCATGGCTTCCCGCAAAGTTAATAAGACGCTAGCCACTTTAGGCGCGCTTTTAATATTACTTTCCTAAACTCGGGTGTGTATTTCATGCAACCCAAATCTAAATCCCAAAAAGCTGAATAAGAGGTGTTTAGGATCCGGGTGCATTTCATGTGACGTGATCCAAAAACACGCTCTTAAACGGCGTTCACTTTCGTAAAAACAAAATAAACTAAAAGTGGTAAATAATCTTAAAATTGCACTATAGGTTTAAATATGTATAAAAATCAGATTTTAGCCATTTATGATAATTTAAGCGACCGTGCTAGAACCACGGGATCCGGGGGTGCCTAACACCTTCCCTCGGGTCAACAGAATTCCTTACACAGAATTTCTGGTTCGCAGACTCCAATTGGGAAGTCGAAATTTTCCTCGATTTGGGATTTAAATTAAATCGGTGACTTGGGACACCAAAAGCCAATCCTATCCCAAGTGGCGACTCTAAAAAATCAATAAATAATCCCATTTCGAATAATGTCACTTTAAATGGAAAAACTCCCTTATACGTTATCCTTCGGGGTAGGTGTGTAAAAAAGGAGGTGTGACAGCTCTGGCGACTCTGCTGGGGAGGCGAACCCAGAATTTCGATTCAAGGTTCAAGAATTCGAGCTTAGTACAATTTTTGTATTTGGCTTTATCTGATTTTTCTACATGTTCCATGCTATATGTGCTAAATGTTTTACCGCTTTGATATTTGTTGAAATTGTATATATAAACTGCCGCGAATCCCTTCCTCTTTCTGAGTCTTCTACATCATGGAGAAGGGTGCACTTCGTGTAGCTTCTCTTCTGTTTAGAGTCTTTTCCCATTTAGAACGAGGTTTGGATAAGTTGCAAAGCCGGCGGAGCTTCTGTATCCCCGGTACGCTGCCTCCCCCTCGGCCCGAGTTGTCCGCTCGGGTAAGCCAGGTCTAGACCAATAAACCTAGGGTTAAACCTAGAAGAACAAAACCTCATGCCGGATCCCTAGTAGGACGTTTGTTTGCATCATGTGCATTTGACTTAGGGGACTCAACACAGGGGTTGGGTCCGTCTAGGACAGGTGACCTGAAATGAATTGACCATCCTGATGCATCTTACGTGCTACTTGCGCATTTATTTGCTCGGTTTTGCATGTTGACTGGCTTGTCTAAATAAGTGAAAATTGAGGAAATAAGCAGTGTTAGGACTAAGTGAGGATGACCATTTGTTTTGAAAAACCCCAATGCCCAAATAGTACCGAAATGCTGCCGGATTTTTGAAAAATGAAAAGAGAAAAAGAAAAATATTTGGAAAAAATAGAAAGGAAATCGTNCTACAAAACAAGATTTTTCAAAATGAGGGCCCCACCCCCAATGACTACCAACGGTCATATTAATTGAACAAATAGCCGTTTTTTTTCTCAATTTACAAAACTAACCTTCTCTAACACTATAAGTACCCCCCTCCCTCTTCTTCATTTCAATACTCAATACTCATTTCTCAATCTAAATTTCTCTCAATCTCTCAATCTCCAATTTTCAAGACTTCAAGTCTCAATCTCAATTTTCAAGTTAAATCATGCCTCGTTCGGAAAGAGTGCGCTTATTTATTTCGCAATACTATGAAGTGCTTGAAGAAAATGAAGAAGGCCAAATATTAAAGTGCAAGAACTGTGGAAGAGTCTTAAATTTTCGTTCAGGGTGTACCACAGGCATTTTAAGGAGGCATATAAAGTATTGTGTTGAGGGTATTTATTCGCAAATTCGTCTTTAAAATTTTTCAACAATTTGTGTTATTTTAAAATTATTAGACGTATTTATGCTTCATGTTGTACTTTGTTATTAATTTATTATACATGCCAATTTAGTTTTACTATTGATTTGTTATTTTACATTTTCGTCAAACACTTTAATAATTAGATTTCTATATTATATATACTACATATATTTATATAGCCATGCATAAGAGCAATTTATATATATACATACACATATGGTTTACAAGAAATTGCCTTAAATAAAAAAAATTAAAAAAAAAAAGCCCGGAAATAAAAAAAGCCCGTTAGGCCCGCTAAGCCCACGAGCCCGGCCCATCTAGCCCAGGACCATATGGGCTTAGGCCCGTCACGGGCTGGTCCTACCCGTTGAGCCCACGAAGCCCGGGACCGCGAAGCCCGGGACCGCTAAGCCCAGGCCCGTTTAGCCCGGCCCATTTAGCCCATTTAGGCTCGGGCCCGGCCCACCATTCAGCCTTAGTAGTAAATAAGAATGACGCAAACTGAATACTTGATCACAAGGAGACGTGGCTTAGATTTATCAAACACATGGAGCAAGTGGGCTATAATAAAATTCCCTACTAGGAAAATACGCCTTAACTCACCTCAAGACGACAAGCTTAACTTCCACTTCACACCTCCTTCAAGCAATCCTGGACCCCAATTTCACAATCTACCTGATAAACCAGTTCAACTTACATAACTATGCCTAAAGCTTGTAACTTTATTCCCATTAATTGAGGACATTGGTTCAAATCCTCTAATTTGTGTGTTTTTCCTCTATTACGTGGGAACAAAACTTATCCACTTTATTCTTTTACAATACAATGGGTATAATTCTCCTTAACAACATTATTAACAATACAGTATAATACCAAGTCAAAGGTTTCATCTTTTTTACAATTAAAATCTTCATTATCAATTTTTCCCTGTACTACTCAACCCTAACTCTTGTTTGCAATTACAATAACCTATCTAAATAATAGAGTAGAGAATTAAATAAGAAAGGAGTGAAGAAAAACAGAAGGAAGAAGGGATTTTCTTACCGTGCATTTGTCGGTGGAAAGAACACAAGCAACCAAATGGAAAAACTTTCTGCCTTTAAGCTTCTGCCAAACGAGAACTCTAAATCCCGTACCAATTCTTAATGTTTCATTCTAATGCCTTTTCTTTAGGCAGAATAGCCTAGTAGACGCCTATATTTGTTCCGCTTTGTCATCTCGGTCCCTATACTCCACGAAATTTCATTCAAACACTTGTGCTTGATCAAAATGAATATTATAAACCTCTGACCGTTGACCAAGCTTATTTGGCCTTTATTTATCTGACTATGATGGAATGCGTGGTATGCACGCGTAAAGAGAGCGTGAATCTATATTTTTATTCTTTTTAAAAGGAAAATTCAAATATGATAATAAAAAACAGAGAAACAATAAAAATAAAAGGGAAAACACCCCCTCCTCCCATCTTCAAAACCTTACCTAACCCATCACCCCCATCTGCTGCCTTCTACCCCGTACCCTTCATCCATCAAGATCACCCACCACCATCACTCCCTTCTTCCTTTGTCCTGTTCTTCCCACTCTTTACCCTTTTTTATTCCAAGAACTTCAAAATCTCTCTCCTAAACCTTCTATCCAATCACCACTAGCTCACCACCACCAACCACTATAAACTCTGACAACGTTTCACCCTAGATTTTGACAACCTTTACTTTCAATCCCTGGTAGATCTTCTTGTCAACACTCGCCCTTCCGATAGGCCAGATGACGACGATGATAGCAGTCTGTATGAAATATTTGGGATCTCTTTGGTTGGAAGAAATGGTGATTGGAGGAAAATTGATGAGATCTATGCTGCCTTATAGTTTCTGCAATCATTTCATAACCCAAAAAAATGAATCCTAATAGTTTCAGGTGCAACAGTTATGGTGAGATAAAGAGAGAAGAAGTTGAAGCCGATGAATTTTTGAGGTTCTCTGAAAATCGAGAGGGAAGGTGAAAAATGGCGTGAAGGAGAAAGAAAATCTGGTATTAGTAAGAAGAAGATGCTGATGTGGATTATGTATCTGACATGGATCTGATGTGTTATCCATGTCACGGCAAGTGAGACTCACGCATAATGGGAGGGTTTTAAAATATTCATTTTGATCAAATACAAATGTTTGAACGAAACTTTGTGAAGTACTGGGACCGGGATGACAAACTGGAACAAGTATAAGTGTATACTAGGCTATTCTGCCTTTTCTTTTAAGATTCCAATCCATATATATCACGTGATCATACTTAGTCCACGTGACTAGTCCAATTCTCTTTTTGTCAATTTTTCATTCTCTTATCTCTTTTTTTTTTTTTTTTTTTTTTGTCTTTATCAATTTATCATTTCACACCACTACTAATTTATAAAAAAATACACCGTAAGTCAATAACATGCTTCAATTACTTTATTTAATTCTTTTTTAATATTAATATATCATATAACCTGCTTCTAATCACCATGTGCTATAGGCATATCTGCAACCACTTTATCCGGACCGCATAGGTCCTTATACCCGTCGAGCATCTTATTCATGTCATTAATAACGTCATTATCAACATTTAAAGCCTAAAAATTTATGAGGTTTTACATTCTCCCTTGCTTAGGAACATTCATCCTCGAATGTTGTATCATGGTCGTCCTTGAATCTAAAAGAATACCCAAGCATTTGTGTCACTCTCACTTATTCCTTAGCACCCCAAAATTGACTAACACCTAAAAGTTATAGAAAAAAAAAAGAATTTCGATAGAGTTACCTCTATAACTGGAGCTATCAAAAAAAATTTAACCTGCTCAAACAACTCAACAATAACATTTTGCACCTCGAGTGGATTAATACAACAACATACACTATCAAGGCACACCAATATACCCAATAAAACCACTTTTCGTCACTATAAGCACAATTATCCTATAACTCCCAATCTAAATATCTTAAAGCATAAATTGAACTATGTACCTGAAATCTCGAACAAATAAGGATATTTTTCTCTTATGGCTTCTTCTGGCTCCCACGTAGCTTCCTGAGCTGAATGGTTGCTCCACATTACTTTTACCGAAGCAACATTTTTGGTTTGAAGCCTACGAACTTGCCTATCTATTATAGCTACAGAGACCTCCTCATATGACATAGTATCACCAAACTCTATCTCCCGCCTATCAATTACATAACTCCGGTCATTAAAGTACAATTTTTGCATTGACACATGAAAAACTGGATGCACTGCAGATAACTTTGGAGGTAAAGCTAGACGATACGCCACAAGCCCAAAAGAACTGGATAATGCCCTATATATCTTGAGTTAAGCTTTCCTTTTATACCAAACCTCGTAATTCCTTTCATTGGAGACACCTTTAAAATACATAATCACCTTCTCTGAACTCAAGATCGCAGTGTCTAATATCTGTGTATGACTTTTGTCGGCTTTGAGCTATTTTAACACGTTCTTGAATTAGCTTCACCTTCTTCAAGGCATCTTGTACTATAGTTGGCCCAATAAGCTTTGTTTCACCTATCTCAAACCATCTCATAGGAGAACGACACCTTCTCCCACATAGGGCCTCTGGGGCCATTTGGATACTTGCCTGATAACTGTTATTATATGCAAACTCATTCAAAGGCAGATAATCATCCCAATTTCCTTTAAAATCTAGGACACATGCTCAATATCGGATTGTCCTCTCGGCTTGCCCGTATTTTTGGGGGTGAAAAGCCGTACTTAGATTCACTCGGGTACCAAGACCTTCCTGAAAACTCTGCCAGAACTGAGCAGTAAATTGAGCACCTCTGTTAGAAATAACGGAGACGGGAGAACCATGCAATCGAACAATCTATTTTATGTATAATGTTGCATACTGGGGTGCTGTGTAGGTCGTTTTGACTGGCAAAAAGTAAGCCGACTTACTGAGTTGGTCTACTATGACCCAAATAGAGTCATGCTTCTTAAAAGTTCGCGGCAAGCCAACCACAAAATCCATATTTATTCATTCCCATTTCCATTGTAGTATTTCTATGACTTGAGCTAAGCCGTCTGGTCTCCGGTGTTCAGCTTTTACTTGCTGACGGTTAAGGCACCGTGATACATAATCTACAATATCTCACTTCATATTATTCCACCAATAAATATCCTTCAAATCATGATGCATTTTAGTAGAACCTGGATGTATTGAATATGTAGAGCTATGAGCTTCTACCATGAGTTCCCTTCGAAGATCATTTACATTAGGCACGCATGGCGGCCATCAAGTCTCATCACACTATTCTCATCAATTACTAAATTCTTAATCTTGCCACTGAGGACACCTTCCTTGAGCTTAAACAAGCTAGCGTCATCGAATTGTTTGGCTTTAACTTTCTATACTAAAGTAGACTTAGCACCCATACTTGCTATCAACCTTCCATCATACTTCTCATCGAGACGAACCCCTTGGCTAGCTATTTGTTGGGCTTCCTTAACTATTCGACGCTCGGCCACGGGCAACCTGGTCAAACTTCCCATGGATCTTCTACTCAGAGCATCAGCAACCATATTCGCTTTGCCGGGATGGTAAAAGATATTACAATCATAATTTTTAAGCAACTCCAACCACCTATGTTGTCTCAGATTCAACTCTTTTTGCTTGAATATATACTGCAAACTTTTGTGATCTGTATAAATGTCAGATTGCTCTCTATAAAGGTACTGACGCCATATTTTTAGAGCAAAAATAACTGCTGCTAGATCAAGATCGTGGGTAGGATAATTTCTCTTATGACTCTTTGATTGCCTAGAAGCATAAGCAATTACCTTGTCATTCTGCATAAGAACACATCCAACCCTACTCTACAAGCATCACAACAGATCACTAATTTACCTGTAAGGGTAGGTAGAGTCAGGATTGGGGTTGTAGTCAACCTGTTCTTGAGTTCTTGAAAACTTTTCTCACACGCTTTAGACAATTGAAACTTCAAATTTTTCTGAGTTAACTTTGTCAAGGGGGAAGCTACCGAAGAGAACCCTTCTACAAAACGACAGTAGTAACCTGTCAATCCCAGAAAACTACGAATCTCTGTGGGGGTTGTCGGCCTAGGCCAACTCTTAACTGCTTCTGTTTTTTGCAGGTCAACTCTAATGCCTTCTCTCGAGACCACGTGCCCCAAAAATGTAACTGTATCGAGCTAAAATTCACATTTGGAGAATTTTGCATAAAGCTGGCGCTCCTTAAGTATTTAAAGAAATATTTTCAAATAATTCTCATGCTCTTTTCGGCTATAGGAATATACCAGTATATTATCGATAAATACTATGACAAAGGTATCTAAGAAAGCCTTGAAGACTATTCATTAGGTCAATAAAAGTCGCTGGTGTATTGGTCAACCCAAAGGACATCACTAAAAATTCATAGTGACAATACCGAGTCCTGAAAGCTATTTTCAGGATGTTTGTGTCTCTGATCTTTAATTGATGGCATCCCGATCTTAGGTCTATCTTTGAGAAATACCTAGCACCTTGTAACTGATCAAATAGGTCATCTATCCTGGGCAGTGGATATTTATTTTTGATAGTAACCTTATTCAGCTGGCGGTATTCTATGCACATCCGTAGGGAACCATTCTTTTTCTTCACGAACAACACTGGAGCACCCCAGGGGGAAACAATAGGTCGAATAATACCCTTATCTAAAAGGTCTTATAATTGCTTTTATATTTCATTTAGCTTAGCTGGAGCCATTCTGTAAGGAGGAATCGAGATTGGCTGAGTTCCTAGCAATGTGTCTATACCAAACTCAATCTTCCTATCTGGTGATATACCTGGGAGAACATCCGGAAACACTTCTAGAAACTCTTTCACAATATCTATTGATTCAAGCATAGGGGAGTCGGATTTCATACCCCTCACATGTGCTAGATACGCCAAACACCCATTACTCACCAGCTTTCTAGCCTTAAGGTATGAAATAAACATACCCACAGGTATACCAACTTCACCTCTAATTATAAATGGATCTTTCCTAATAAATGAGAATTTAACTATCTTCGCATAGCAATCAACTATAGCATGACAAGAACATAACCAGTCCATGCAGCTATGATGTTAAAGTCAACCATATCTAACAAGTTCAAATCGGCTAATGTTTCTCGGCCCTAAACAGTGATGATGCAATTTCTGAATATATATTCAACTTTAACAGATTTCACTATAGGTGTGGAAACCTCAAATGGGACCCCTAACTTTTCTGGTGCTTTTCCAAACTCGACACAAAAATAAGGAGACACATAGGAGAAAGTTGAACCAGGATCAACTAATACATAAGCAAGATCACAAACTGAGAGAATACCTGTAATAACTTTGTTAGACGCCTCCGCATTCTGTCTAATCTTGAACTGCATAGAATTTGGCTAGTCCGCCTCCTCCCTGAGATCCACCTCTATTGGCACCACGCCCAGTCTGAGCATTAGGTGCCCGAACTGGAGAAGGTGCTACCAGCGAATTACTTGTGGGTGCTACCTGAGTTGCTAGATCCTTCCCTGGAGCATGCTTGAGTTGTGGACAATCTTTCATAAGGTGACCTAGGTCATAGTAGTGATCACATCCTCTCTGACCCAAAAGGCATTGCCCAAGATGTTTTTTATTGCACGTGGAACAAATAGGATAGGAGAACTGAGTCTGACTTTGATTTGTTGAACTGTGCCCCAGATAGGCCTGACCCTTACTATGCTGGCCTTGTTTGAACGGAGCTGGATAAGAAGACGAGTGAGCTAGTGACTGAATCTAAGCTGAATGATTCATGTTCTTCCCCCAACTAAAAGTCCACTATAACTACCTGTGGATCTAGCTTTCTTGCCATTTTCTCTAGCTTCTCTGGCAATTTTATCAAAAGCCTCCTTACGCAGCGATATTGACAACTTGAAGAGAAGTCTTGTCATCCTGATGTGAAGTCATATCTTTTGCTATATGCGGATTCAAGCCTTCAAAGAACCTTCTCACTTTTTCTCTCTCTGTCGATATCAAATTAGGTGCATACTCTGCCTAATTGTAAATTCCATCTCATATTCGGTGACTGACATGGTACCCTGTTTAAGATGTTCGAACCGACGTCGGAGTTCATAGAATCTCTAGCCTTCTTGTAACCTCTCCACCATTGTCCTGTTGCGCCCTTCAATCGAAATCCAATTAACTGTAGCTTGTGTTTCAAGACAACCCAAATAAACAAAAATTTCCTCTATCTCTTCCAGAAAATAACATTGGTTCATTTGGTTTATCTATACTATCATAAGTTGGAGTTTTTAATCTCAGAACGGCATGTGGATCAATTCTTCATGTTGGTAACTGCACTGGCTGGGCAATATTTGTAGGGACAACGGGTGGTATTACCTCGAGTGGAGCTTGAAAATTATCTTCTATAACCTCTTCATCGGAATCATGAGGGCCCTGAGGAGGAGCATGAACAGGTGCAATCCGAGCACCAGCCGGAGGGGCTAGGGACTCCAAAAAGTCAAAAATTATGCCAAATCAATCATCCTGCTGATGTGGTTGGTTCACCCTGAGTGGGTTGGGAGGGGGTGTGACTTCAACCTGATCATTAACAACCTGGTGAGGTGGAGCATGTGCTTGTCTAGTGGATCTACCACGAACCTGATTACCTCTGGCATTTTCACCTCTACCACTAGCATTTTGACCTCTCCCTCTCCCTCTACCACGTCCTTTAACTACAGCTAGTGCTAGTGGTGTGGCCTGCACCTCTGGTGTTGCTTCTTGATGATTAGCAGCCGGTATCCCAACATTGTTAGCAGCAAATGATGAAGTTAATCTTGTTCGCTGAAATGAGAGATAAATGGGTGTTAAAATTTTGAAACTTTTAGCTCTAACGCACGATATAAGAATCAAAGCAAAGAAATTTTATTAACATGCCCTACAACTCTTATCTAGGAGTTCCTGAAGCTGCTCCTTTAACTCCACTGGTGCCATACGATACGGCGGAATAGAGATGGGCTGAGTGCCCAGCACCAGGTCAATACCAAAATCAATATCCCTGTCCGGTGGCATGCCCGGCAGGTCTGCAGGAAATACATCAGGGAAATCCCTCACAACTGGAACGGAATCAATACTGGGAGTCTCAACTCCAACATCCCTCACAAAGGCAAGATACGAAAGACAACCCTTCCCAACCATACGCTGGGCTTTCATGAAAGAAATCACTCTGCTAGGAACATAATCAGTCACACCTCGCCACTCAATCCATGGCACACCCGGAATAGCCAACGTGACTGTCTTGGCATGACAATCTAGAATAGCGCGACAGGGAGATAGCCAATCCATGCCCAGAATGACATCAAAATCCACCATACTCAATAATAGAAGATCAACTCGGGTCTCCAGACCCCCAATCGTCACCACATACGACCGGTACACACGGTCTTTAACAACAGTATCGCCCACGGGGGTAGATACATGAACAGGTAAAGCAAGAAACTCACGAGGAGTACCCAAATAGCGAGCAAAGTATGATGACACATAAGAATAGGTGGAACCGAGGTCAATAATGCAGAGGCATCTCTGTGGCAGACTGAAATAATGCCTGTAATGACAGCATCAGAAGCAATGGCATCGGGTCTGCCGGGAAGAGCATAAAAACGGGCCTGACCGCCCCCTGATCGACTTCCCCCTCTGGGGCGACCCCTGGCTGACTGATCCCCACCCTTAGCTGGCTGGGCGGGTGGTGGTGGAGCAACTGGAGCCGAAGCTGATGACTGGCCCCTCTGCTGGGATGAACTAGCAACACGGCGGGGACACTGCCTCCTCATGTGTCCCATCTCGCCACACTCGTAACAAATCCTAGGTGCTGGAGAAGGGGACTGATGGGAACCCCTCGCACAGGAGTGACCAGCAGATGCACTCGGCGTAGAAGAGCCCTAAACCGATGGAGCACGGGATGAGCTCTGAGCTGGAAGGGCACTAAGTGATGAATGGCCCTAGTGTGAACTGTGGGAACCATAACCCAATGACGCCCCACGATAACCTGAGCGATCAGACTGACCATGACGGAACTATCGACCTCTCCCGAGATGAAACTGGCCCCTCGAAGGACCACCACTGTAGCTACCAGATCCTCGAGGCCTCTTGGCCTCCCTCTCCTCTCGCTCCTGGCGACGGACAGACTCAATCTCCTTGGCAATATCCACAACCTCCTCGAATGAGCACCAGTCACCCTCTCCCTGGTCATAAGGATACGGAGCTGATAAGTAAGACCATCGACAAACCTCCTGATCCTCTCTCGATCTGTCGGGACCAACCAGATGGCATGACGATCCAACTTAGAGAATCTCAACTCATACTGTGACACGGTCATGTCTCCCTGACGCAACCACTCAAACTGTCTATGCAGTTCCTCTCTGCGAGACTGAGGTACATACTTCTCCAGAAAGAGAACGGAGAACTGCTGCCAGGATAAGGGTGCTGCACCAGCAGGCCTACGCCTCTCAAAGTCCTCCCACCAAGTAAAATCAGGTCCTTAAAACTAATAAGTAGTGAAAGCGACCCCGCTGGTCTCCAGCATACCGGCTGTGCAAAGCATACTCTGACACTTATCTAGAAAGCTCTGGGCATCCTCGCCCTCTGCTCCGCTGAAGGTCGGAGGCTAAAGTCTCCCAAATCTCTCCAACCTACGCTGCTTATCCTCTGGCATGACAGGAACTACATAGTCCTGAGCAGCTGCGACCGGCTGGGTTGGATGTGCCCCCGACGTCTGAAGTCCCTGCACGACCTGCTCAGGTGTGCGGGCGGCGGGAGTCTGACTGCCCCTCCCGGCCTGTGAAGTAGCTGCGGCTGTAGTGGCTGAAACCGCCTGATCTAGGCCAGTGCAAACTGATAATATCTGAGCCAAGGCCTCTTGAAGACCCGGAATCACAATAGGCACAGCTGGTGCTGCTGGAGGGTCCACAGCTGGGACCTGGTCCTGAACTGGGGCTGCTGGTGGATCTGCAGGTGCTGCTCTCGCTGCTCTGCCTCTACCACGACCACAACCGCGCCCTCGGCCTCTGGTGGCCGCAGCTGGTGGCACTGGTGGCCGTCCATCCTGTCCGGTAGCGCGTGTCCTCACCATTTGTGAGAGAATGGAACAACAGAAGTTTAGTACTCGGATCAACAAACTAGCACGATAAGAATTTCAAGAATGCGAAGTTTTCCTAAAGGTTCTGCAGCCTCTCGAGGATAAATACAGACGTCTCCGTATCGATCCGCGAGACTCTACTAAACCTGCTCATGACTCATGAGACCTATGTAACCTAGGCTTTGATACCAACTTGTCACGACCCTAACCCCGAATCCGGTTGTGATGGCGCCTCTCGTGAAGACAAGGCCAGCCAGCTTAATCCGATTCATCTTTTAAAGCAGTTAAATAACGCAAAATAGTCTAAACATGATTTAACAATTCTAAGTAGCGGAAATATAAAAAAAATAGTGCAAAAATCCAACCTAACACAGCCCTAACCGGGGTGTCACAAGTCAAGAGCATCTACGAATCACAGTACAGTCTGCTAAAGTCATAAACTACTACAAGTGTTTGTTGGAAACAGAAATGATAGAAGAGTAGAGACACGGGGCTGCGGATGCCAACAACTACCTTGCAATCTCCGAAAAAGCCCGCCTAGAACTGGAGAAAATCAACACTCTGGAGCAGAATCAGCTACGCCTGAATCTGCACACAGGGTGCAGGGAGTAAAGTGAGTACTCCAACTCAGTGAGTAATGAATATAAATAATGACTAAAAGTAAGAAACCACGTAAAGTACAAGACAGTCTATAATGAAGCAGTAAAATCATATATAATCAGGAAAACCAGTAAGAATCAGGAAAAATGCTCTTTAAACCAGTAAACAGGTAGTGGACAGATACTTATGATAAAAGTAAACAAATAACAGTTCGCCCCTCGGGCACAGTAACACCACATCTGCCCCTCGGGCAACATCTCACAACAGTAACAGCCCCTCGGGCTCAATCTCACATCACACTGGGTACCCGCGCTCACTGGGGGTGTGCAGACTCCTGGAGGGGCCCCTTACGGCCCAAGCGCAATAATAAGCCATCTCGTGGCATCAAATCTAGGCCCTCAGCCTCATATCAATCAAGCCACCTCGTGGCGTACACATCTCAGGCTCTCGGCCTCCAATCAGTATCAGTATCTCCTCACAATATAGGCCCTTGGTCTAACTCAGTCAAAATTCATCACAAGCCCCTCGGGCAATAGTAAAACAGTGTTTCTCAGCCCAAACATCATTTAAAATATCATTTAAGTCTCAAACCGAGTAAAACGGCTGAGTAGTAAAACAGTGGAATTTAATATGACTGAGTTCAAGTAGTAAATCGAAACAGTGAGGAAAATATCAAATAAAAGCCTCGAAGGGTTCAAATAGTTGGCACAAAGCCCAAATATGGCATTCAGCCCAATAAACGACGATGACAAATAGTTTTAAATCAAATACGCGGTATAAACATCAATCGGGACGGACCAAGTCCAAATCCCCAATGGTATACGACCCTACGCTCGTCCTCAAGCGTGTGCCTCACCTCAACATAGTACTACGATGCACAATCCGGGGTTTCAAGCCCTCAGAACATCATTTACAAGCATTACTCACCTCGAACTGGCTAAATCCCTAGCTCGCGATGCCTTTGCCCTTCGAATTTTCCTCCACGTGCGTCGAATCTATCCAAAATCAGAACGAATATGTCACAATATGCTAAGGGAACAAGGCCCAAGCAAAAACAATCGAAAAATACCAAAAAATCCCGAAATTAGCAAAACCTGATCCCCGGGCCCACTTCTCGAAACTCAGAAATTTTTACATCACTAGCTTCCTCGTCTTCTCACGAGTTCATACATACCAAGAACACAAAAATCGGAGTCCAAATGACCCCTCAAATCCCCC